TCGACCGACAAATTCGTAACGATCTATTCAGAGCTGTGATAAAGCAAGAAATTGGATTTTTCGATGCGAACAAGACTGGTGAGTGGGTAAAACATGCTCGAAAGCGAAAAATGAGTATAGGATGTCATGTCAAAAGGGACTGCCCCGGGCGGACATCCGCCACAAGTCATGTACCTGAACATGTTATTGCTCGTAGTAGTTGTCAGCGCGCGGGTAATCGAATGGGGAAGTAGCCTCTCGATTTTGTGACTCGATTTAGTGATGTAAAATTTTTTATAATAAATCCAGCGGCATCAAATGGTCAAAATTCAAACATTTCCAGCAGTAATTTTGCAAATCTGATATTTTTTTCAGGTGAGATCTGTTCACGCTTAACGTCTGATTGCCAGACGATGTCTAACACATTATCGCTTTACATGAATGTTTTGACAAGGTACGATTCACTTATTGATTTTGATGCGAGAGCTGGTCCCCCATAAAGAAGCATACTTTATGTTTACGTAATTCATACTTATACAAGGGGAATGATATCGCAAAGACAAACATTGATCACTTAGTCCATTTTTGGACAACTGGGGACCAGTCTTGCATATGATTCTGTTTTTTTTTTGATTGCTTCAAGACCTGCATAGTAGACCCACCTTATTGCTTTAGGAACGTCACCATGTTGTTCGGATCCCTAATCTTCATGACCACGTTATCGTGGAGATTATCCATGATCACTTTGATTACTGTACCACTGATCTTTCTGGTCAATAAAGTATTTGGTGTATGGTACGATGTAAGTGAATTAATAATTATCGTCTTATTTTAGCAAAACTGATTTGATGAAAAATAATTTCAGAAATTGTCAGAAGAGACCCAGAACTCAGTGGCTCATGCTAACGATGTAGCTGAAGAGGTCCTTTCATCTATTCGAACGGTCAAAAGTTTCGCTTGTGAACGCTTTGAAAGTTACCGGTATGTACCCGCTTTTTTCATTTTTCGTGTATTTTCATCAGGAGTAGAGGGCAAAAAGTGCCATTGTCTCGTTTCCTTTTTATTTACAGATTTTTCTTTGCGAATGCATCATCGAAGAGTTCCATGATAAACTTGCTCGAAAGATATCATTCTACAAAATCTTACACTTTCAGGTTCCTAGGCTACCTTAACGAGACCTTGGCAATTGCCACTCGTAAAGTAGCTTGTGTGATAGGCCTAATTTGGACGAATGAGGTAAGTTTGCAGAAGCGCGATTACCGTACGCTTACAACTTCATATTTTTGTAGCTTTTACAAATGGCAATTCTCACCATAGTACTATGGTATGGAGGTCATCTCATTATCCAAGCAAAGGTATTTTATTTAACATAACAACGAAAATACTGACTTTTGTGCTCGTAAGACCACAGTATTTCTTGGATCACAATCAGAAAGAGCAACGGGAGGAAACTGGTGCAAAATATTTACTTCAAACTTGGGTAATCGAACCTGTTACAATAAAAAAAAACGAGGCAAACCTAAGAGAATGAGTGAATTAAAATCCAAGCATCTCACTTCATTCAATCACAATCAAGTGGCATAGACTCAAAAACAGATCACAAATGAGAATGACACTCTAGCTAAATATCTTGTGCATTTAATCATATGAAAGTACAATGAGCACGAAGAGTGATGGTAAGTTTGCTTGCGCTTTCTGAAGCAACGAATTTTTGATACAATAAAAAGGTTTCCACAACCTTGCCAACTGAGACCATACGGA